CTTGTTTTTCTGAAAGCCTCTTGCTTTCAATGGTTTCTAATAGCACAATAGTATTCTATCACAGTCCTATATCACAACTTGCTCAGCCACTCCCCAATTGATGGGCATCCCCTCAATTCTCAATTCTTTGCCATCGCAAAAAGAGCTGCTATAAATGTTTTTGTACAAGTAGGTCCTTTTCCTTTTTTATCTCTTTGAGATGCAGACCTAGTAGTGGTACTGTTATGCACAGTTTGATAGCCCTTTGGGTATAGTTCCAAACTGGTCTCCAGAATAGTTGGATCAGTTCATAGCTCCACCAACAGTGTATTAGCATCCCAATTTTCCCACATCCCCTCCAATTTGTCATTTGTCTTTTCTATCACATTAGCCAATCTTATAGGTGTGAAGCAGTACCTCAGTTTCAATTTTTATTTCTCTAATCAATAGTGATTTAGAGCATTTCCTTATATGACATAGCTCTGATTTCTTCTGAAAATTGCCTGTTCATATCCTTTGACCATTTATCATTTGGGGAATGCTCATATTATTATAAATTTGACTGAGTTCTCTATATATTTGAGAGATGGAGCCCTTATTAGAAAAACTTGCTGTGAAAGTTTTCCCCAGTTTTCTGGGGAAACCTTTTCTTTCACAATGTGACTAACATGGAAATGTTTTCCATGACAGTACATGCATAACCTTTCTCAAACCTTTCCATCTAATCCTGGCTGCATTGGTTTTGTTTGTGCAACACCTTTTTAATTTAATATAATGAAAATTATCCATTTTACATTTCATCATGCTCTCTGTCTCTTGTTTGGTAATAAATTGTTCCCTTCTCCATTGATTTGAGAAGTAAACTATTCCTTGATCCTCTAATTTGCTTATGGTATCACCTTTTATGTTTAAATTATGTACCCATTTTGACCTTATCTTGGTATACAGTGGGAGGTGTTGGTCTATACCTAGTTTCTACCAAATTGCTTTCCAGTTTTCCCAGCAATTTTTGTCAAATAGTGAATTCTTGTTCCAAAAGCTTGCATCTTTGGGTTTATCAAATACTAGATTACTATGGTCATTTACTCCTGTGTACTATGTACCTAATTGATCCACCACTCTATTTCTTGGCCAGTACCAAATTGTTTTGATGATTATCACTTTATAATACAGTTTGAGATCTGGTACAGCTAGGACACCTTCCTTCATATTTCAATTATTACTAAATAGTGTTTATTCAAGGCCTGATTCTATCCCTAGGTCTGAGAAGAATGAATTCCTCCTGACTTGCTTTCCTCCCAAGGAGGGAGTTGTGCCCAACTGAGATTTCTGTCCAGAGTGGTAAGAATAGCCCTTGAGCTGCTTCTCAGCTGTCACAAGTGCCAACAGGCACCGTGCCCTGCTTATACTGTGAGCTAATAAGAGGCACAGGCTTATTGGGCATTCTTAGCACTTCTAGCCATATGGGTTCCTTCTGACTCTATGAGGAGATTTTCCAATAAGAATCATCCTGACAACAGATCGAGTCCTTGTCCAGTGGTTCTAACCCTTAGCTGGTCCTAATGGGCTTGGGGCTCCCATAGGGCCTATTCCTGTTCTCACTTCCTTTCAGTCAAGCTAACCAGAAGAGACCTTTACAATCACAGACCAGAACAGGCTTTCAAATGGAGATAGAAAAAGCAGTTGATGCATTGCTTGTGTGTATAGCTGTGGGTGTTTCTAGCTTCAGATGTGAAGGTGTAGGTATTTGAGTGTGTGTGTGTGTGTGTGTGTGTGTGTGTGTGTGTGTGTAAGCACAGCCATGTAGGTAAGATAGATGACCAGATTATCTTAGGTAGACTAGCCACAGCTTGGAGATGCTGGCCTCATGCAGATATGCCCTATTTCTATCAGTATGTCTGGCCACTAAGTCTGGGGCAGGTGGTCAACTTCTTGCCACCAGAGTGTCCATACTAGCTGGAGTTTCAGCCACAGTTAACCACCTTGCCCACCTCACTGGTGAGGCAGCTGCTGTTGTCATTGCCTGTGCCAAGCAAGCAGGGCAAGAGGGAGGGAAGAACAAGGTTATAGGAAGGAAAAGGAGAAAGGAAGGAGAGGGCTGCCAGGAGAGACAGGAACCAGGCTATCCAGTGCTGCTCCAGATAACAACCAGGGAGAAACTAGCAGGCAGGTAGGGAGAGAGGGAACTGATAAGAATGTGCCATGGACTCCACCTTTGTGGAGGTGACCCTATCTCTAAACTGTCAGCTTGTACTCAGGAAGCAATGGTCTGGTTATATCAGGCTGAAAGCCAAGTGGGAGGAGTCTGGGGACTGAGTGCTAGCTTCAGGGGCTAGTCCCACAGTTAGTTTGTTTGGTTTGAATTCTTCTTCATGTCTACTCAAGATAAACTGAGCAGACAGATGGGGCTGAAGACAGCCCTAGAGGCTTTTCACCCTCCTGTGTCTCTGTGCTTCTCTTCCTCCATCTCCAGCCATGGCTCTATACTGGCCTCACCTCACTCAGAGTGCTCACCTCCCTAATCAGGCTTCTGAGAGTGAAGACTTTGCATGCACTAGCTAGAAAGTCAAGAGGGCCCCAGGAAGTTCCTTAGGGCAGATCTTTACTTTCCCCCCACTAGGGATCAGGCTCACTTTTGTAAGACAGTGAGTGGGAGAGTATCAGATTCAACAAGCAAGCTGTTTCTCCAACTTCAATTGCAAAAAATACAGATTTACCACCTGGCAGAAGGCCATAGCCTTGAGGACATCAAAGTCGCCATGAGGCTCATATATTGGTGGTGAAATACAAGATGTAGGAACTTAAGTCTCCTGATCATTTGGTTTTTGGTCGTTCTTATGTAATGAAGTCAGAAGTGTAAACTTCCAAAAGGGAAGGGGAAGGGAATAAGCATTTATTAAGTGCCTACTATGTGCCAGGCACTGTGCTAAGCACTTTACAAATATTATCTTATTTGATTCTCACAAAAACTCTGTGAGGTAGGTGCTATTATCCCCATTTTACAGTTGAGGAAACTGAGGCAGAGATTAAGTGATTGCCCAGGGTTACACAGTAAGTGTTTGAGGACTCAGGTCTTCCTGACTCCAGGGCCAGCAATTGTGCCACCTAATTGTCTCTGAAAATATTGACCTAGAAAATAGAAATCTCAACCTCCAATGAAGGAATTTGCCAATTGTACCTCCCTCCTCCAAAAATCCTGGAGTAAGGGTGGGGACTCCTTTCATTGGAGTAGTGGAATGGAGCTCTTCCACCTATTCCCCAGCATTAAACTCCTCACCTAAAAATGGTTTCCTTTGTTGTACTTCTTGAGTGAATGAATCAATCAGAATGAAGTATGAACAAGGTCTTTATACCTCCTTGAATCAATTGAAAGCATTGAGTGAGAAACTATTTCAGAATTGGAGAGAGATTCTGAGGGTTTAGTAGTGGAGAGGAAGGAGTGGGGATATGACAGAAAAAATGGGCATCCCAGGGGTAACAAGTGAAAGGAGAAAGAGAAGGGAGAACTGAGTTGTTTCAGAGAAAGGAAATTTTGAGGAGGGCCATCAGCCCTATAAGCATCCTGGAGCAGAAGATCTGGGCTGATGCCACCAGTTGTACCCATCTATTCAAGGGCTTAGGGAAGTTCCAAGAAATGATCTGCTTTCTCCCTCAAATTCCCCTCTCAGTGCCTACCAACAGGCTTGTAACCCAATTTTACCTCAACAACAGAGATGGCAGAGGTTAACTAGAGATAGATAAAAATGTAAATTAAGGCAAGGAATCTAACTTCTGCCTAAATATTGATTAGGAAGTTGGGAGCCAAAATGGCAAAGTAGCAGCAAAAAGTACAGTGACCTTCCCCCCAACCCCAAATCCTCCAAATTGATATAGAAAATGCACCAGAGTGAATCTAGATGGGGAAATCCAAGAAAAAGTCATGATGAGTAATTTTTCCAACCACTGTCAGCATAGGGAGAAATACAAAGAGGTCTATGGACACTGGGGAGGGGGTTTGGCCAGGAGTGGGCTGCTCAGAGAGGGCATACACCAGGAAACCTCATGCAGGGTATGAAAACATGTGCCAATTGGAAGCTTTGTTGCCCACTACCCAGTTCCAGGTCAAGATCCAGGGTGGATTCAGAAGGGGACCTTCACCCAATGGTGGTGTTTCAGGGTAAGGAGCTCTCACAGGCCTTAAGTGTTATCCAAGAGAAGAGCAAAGAGCAGCTTCTGCTTTCTGCAGAGGAGTAGCCAGCGCAGGAATTATGGACCAAAGGAAACAGCAGAGCTTCCCAATTGGCTGATAGGGGCAGAGTCCAATAGCATCTACAGTTACTCAGACCCAAACCCATGTCAGGAACTAAGACTAGGGGGACAGTGACCAGACTTTACCATGGACCAAACCACTTTGGGAGCACTGATAGCTTGCAGGTTCCCAGCCTGTCCCTGAGACCCTGGAAAAACAGAACAATCAATACTCCAAGAAAGCAGTAACAGGACCAGCCTAAACTTTCCCTCCAGAAGTGCAGAGAGCCTGGTCTTAATATCAAGTCCAAAATCTGGAAATAGGCTGGAAGAATGAGCAAACAAACAAATAAAAATCCCACCATAAAAAGCTATTGGGGTGACAGAGATGCTCAAGGCACAGATCCAGAAGAGAAAGACTCCAAAACAACTACAAGCAAAACCTCAAATAAAAACACAACTTGGACACAAATTCAACTAGAATTCTTTTTTTAAAAAATTAAAAAAAAATTTTTTTTTAGAATTCTTGGAAGAGAAAAATCAATAATTTAAAATAAAACATTTTTGTCAATGAAATGAGAACACAAGAGGAAGAAATTGGAAAAGAAATGAGAGCTATGGAAGAAAGAATTGGAAAAATAATTAATAGTTTGGCACAAGATGTACAAAAACTTGCCCAAGCAACAAACCTAATAATGATAGCTCATGATAACTCCAGCTCCCTTCAACATCTCATCTGCTCAGGTGCTGATCTGCCCTAATCCTACCTCCTCTACAATGGAGAAGCCACTTACATCTCCTTCGGGGCTTCAGGTCTCGATTCACTGGGGGCGGCTCCAAGTCTGTAGGAAGCTCTGCCAGGGGGCTGGAAAGTCTCTCAGGGCTGCTCATTGCAATGTAACCATCTGCATTGCTTTCTGGTCCAGAGCCAGCAGAGGAGATGCTGGGATGCATGGGGACATAACTGTCTTCAGAGCTCCCTGGTAGGGAGGATGGTGGCAAGGTGAACCGACAGGGCTGCAAGAAGAATCAGGAAGTCAGCACCTCGGATCCTTTGTCCAGCCTGGGCCTGACTCCTGAAAGCCTGGAGACAACAGGCACTGAAGGCTGTGTATATCCTTCCCACTATCTCAGCAACACTCAACAAAAAAGCAACAGATGGGGAACTCTTCCTCCACTGCTGTCCTGAACTTGGCCAGGACGTACATCCAGGGTTCTCCAAGTATCTGTTAAATTGGAGGGGCTGGTGGGCATCTGCCTCTGGGAACCAGCAGGACTCAACTTTGAACAGGCTGGCTACAGGGAGAGGAGCTGTCAGCCACTGGCCCTCTCAATTATGCTCCCAAGGCAAGAGAGGGGAGAAGGATTGACCCAGGGAAGAGAGTCCCCCTTGCAGACGTAGAAGCTAAAACAGTCAAATGCTGGCCTGAGGAAAGCAGATGAGGGCAAGCTCTCGGGATGGTTTGGACAGTGCCAGAGAATGACGGCTGCCCAAAGGAGCAGCCAGGTGGCTGCTCCTTCAGTGCCAATTCAGAGTGACATTTCCTATGTGCTCTCAGGTGAGCAAAACATTTCACAGATATGATCTTGTTTGACTCTCATAAGCACCTAGGAGGTAGGAGCTGCAGGGCTTACTCATCTCCATCTTCCACACAGAGGTAGGATCTTGCCTATAGGCAAACAACGAAGAAGCTGCAGAGGCAGACTTCAACCTAAAGTGTCTTCTAGCTCAAAGCCCAGCAGTGGGTTGCTTTTTCCACCAATGGAGTAGTACCTGTCAGCTAGAAACACCCTGGGGTAAGGGGGCAGGGACAGGAAAAGAGCCTGCGGGACAACCCCAAGAGAGTCTTGGGTCTCTTCAAGGCAGACTCCACAGTGTGGCTTCAGACTTCCACATGTGACAGAAAATCTATTTGCTGGAGAAGCCTGCATTTCCCTGCCAAGGAGTTTGGTTAGGGTCTAGCTCAATTTATTTTGAGTGAAGGGCTAAGTGACCCAGTCAGTCTGAAGAAGGGAAGGAATTGGGAAGCTATCAAAATAAAATAAAATTAACAACAACAAACCAACCACTCCTCCAACTGATTTGGAATTTAAAGAAAAGTTTAAAGAAACCAAAATGCCACACTTACCAAATTCAAACTGAGCCTCTTGTCCCGGTGGGATCGCAGGGAACTGCCTTCTCTGTCAGCTGCAAACCAAAGCACACCAGACATTGTCATCAATTACTGTCCTAGAGGACCTCATCATGTGATGGGGCTTGGTCAACCTAATCCTTGCCCTCTGAGGGAGCTCCCAGTCCAGACAGGAACACAGGACATGTACAATACAAGGTAACACAAGTTAAGGGCCCAGTGAGTCTCAGGCTTATAAGCATTCAAAGGGAGACATCACTGGGGTTTCACAATGAATGTGAGACTTGAGTTGTGATTCCAAAGATGGGTAATATTAGAAAGCAATATGGAAAGGGAGAACATTCTAGAAAGTAGCAACCACTCAGAACTAGGATGGAGTTTAATCTGTAGATATAGTCAGTTCTCCATTAATGCAGGGGGCTCCATGGCCCCACCCTCTCCAGGGTTCTGGGCCCTTTGCCTCCAGAGCAGCTTCAGTGCCTGGAGCAGATGTCCCCTGGCATACTGACACCACTGACCCAGCAGATATCAGATTTTCATAATATGAATTTCTGTAAATTTATGTGAATTTAATAAGGGGAGAACTGTCTGTAATAGGGAGCCAGTCAAGATTTTTGAGCAGGTGAGTGATACGATATGAGCTGTTCATTAGGAAGAGTATATTAAAAACCTCCTTCTCACCAAATAAGGCTCACACAACCTCAGAGTTGGAAGGTTTAGCAGAGGGCAGTGAGTCCAACCTGGACCTTCCTTCTCCAGACAACCTAACCAACCAATCTCTGCTTGAAGACTTGAAGTGAGAGGACACATCCCACCTTCCAAGGCATCCCTTTCTACCCTGGGACAGCTCTGCCACTTTTACCCATTACCTTGGAAAAGATATCACAGAGCTCTGGCCAGTCTAGTGAAAAGACACCAGCACCTCAGCCGCACCAGTGGGGGCTTGGGAGCTATGGTGGTGAATGGATGCTGGCCTGCAGAGTACCTTGCACCTAGAGCACTACATTCCCAAGGTCTGTTCTGTGCGACCAAGCAGAATGAGGTAAACCCTTCCTTCGATGGATTTTCCTCAGCTCTTGTCCTCCCCAACCTCCTCTGAACCTCATTTGACACCCCACCTTCTGTGCTACCTCCTCTTTCTGAATACTCTTCTCCCTTCACTTCTGTGACGTGGCTTTTTCCTACCTCTGATTACTCCTTTGATCTGCTCTGGATCCTTTTACTCCTTTAATATAGGGATTCCCCAAGGCTCTGTCTTAGACCCTCCTCTTTTACTTCTCCATTCCCACGGCTCAAATGATCGCTTTTATATGGAAGCCTCTCAGATCTATACCTCTAATCCTTATCACTTCTGGAACCTTGAGGGAGAAGTAGAAAAATGCTCCCAAATCACTGAGGTTATGAGGCTGGATGGTGGTGCCATTGGTAAGATAATCACAGAGGAAGAGCTGGTTTTAAGGAAAAGATGATTTGGTTTTGGCATTAGTGAATTGGAAATGCCAGTGGGACATCCAGGAAGAGATGTCCTGGAAGCAGGGGAAGATGTGGGTCCAGGACACAGAAGAGAGGTCAGGGCTAGAGAAAAATCTGAGTCATCTTCATTGAAATGATAGTTAAGGCCCTGTAGTGAATGAGAATGCCAAAGGAGAGAATGGTGAGAGAGAAGAGGAGAGGGTTGGGAGCAGAGCTTTAGAAGAATGCCCACATTGAGAAAGTTGGGGAAGGATGAAGACCCAGCTTGTACCATTTGGTCTGCTTTCCCTCTCCCATCCCCTATGCCCATCTTTCAGAGCCCAACTGGGCTTCTTCCACACAGGTTTCCCTAATCTCACCAATTTCTGCCATCACAAAGGATCTTACTTTCCTTTCTCCTATCTTTTCAACAAGGAAGAATGATGCTGATCATTTAGCACAGTACCTGGCACATAGTAGGTGCTTAATAAATTCTTGTTGACTGATTGTTGACTAACTGATTTCCCTATGCACTCCTGCCTTCCTTTCTTTTTCTTTCTTTTTTTAGGCAATCAGGGTTAAGTGACTTGCCCAGGGTCACACAGCTAGTAAGTGTCACCATCTAGCTGCCCCCCAGCCTTCCTTTCTTACTGAGATAGTTGGGGGCGCATGGAGGGAAGGGCATACTTACCTCTACAGCTTCTGACAGCATCTAAACTGGACAAGGAGATTCTTCTTGGAACTCCAACCCACTGAGTCCTCCTGCTGCTGCTAGTGATGCTGCTGCTATGACCATCCCACAGGGGTCTCTCCTCCTGGCGCTGTTCCATGAAATGGCTTGGTTTGGGAGGGCGAGGGGGTGGAGTGTTTGGTATGTCTTCTCCTGTTATTCCACAGGAAAACATGGCTGGGCCCTTGGCCACCTGAAAGGTGGGGGCTAAGGGGCTCCCCAGCAAAGGCAAAGGTGATGAGCAGTCACTGGATGGTCCACTGAAATTGATACAGCCAGCCAGAGCAGCATGGCCCCCAGGGGACACCATATCCTGAAGTCCATTCCCACTGCACAAAGAGGGCAACATGTGATTGGATGCCTGGGGCTGAAGGGAGTCAACAAAGACCTCATCAGATGAAGTTTGTTCCAGGGATCGGTCTGAATTTGACCAGGCATCACATCTGCTGAGAGCAAGAGGGGAAGCAAATAGCATGAGCAAGTGTGAGGACCAGAATTCTCTTGGTTTAGGTGCCATGGCAAGAAACCCCAGTGTACTGCAACTAGCCCCAAGCCCCAGTGGCCTGCTGGCCTGAGCTTGAAGAGGCCCTGCTCAACTGGGGGGGGGTGTCACTGTGGCCTTGCCATTTAGGGGGTCACCATGGCTTTGCCATCCCATTCCACTTGGTTCAATGTGCCAGCTGTTTATTGAGAACCTTCTATATAAAGAAGGGTCCATGCCCTCATTTCAATATCATAATCACTTCTGTTTGCACTGCTGAGCTTTGGGGTATGGAAAGGGGTGAGTGAGGATAAGGAGGTTTAGTTCAGTTTGATGGCCAATGAAACCAGGGCTCAGAGAGGTCAGGTGATCAACCATAACACAGCTACTAACTGTTGGATCCCCATCTCCTCATGGCTTTCTAATATCCACCCCTGGAGCATGTTCTGATTTTTTCTTCTTTGTAATTATGTGTAGTTTCCAGGATATACCTCAAGAGGATAGGAGCCCCAAAGAAGCCAGTGACTCCAGCCCTGAGGTGGGGTTGAAATTATATCAATAGTCAAGAATGAGGGAAAAGTGTTGGGTCCCAAATGGCCATTGCATGTGGCTATCAGGTTAGCTCAGCCCGGGTGGGCCTTGGTTCAAAAATCTAGGAACCTGGAACATGGAAAAACTACAATTTGAATTACCTCAATATTTTTCTCAACATTGGCTAGCTAAGGGCAGAGCTTATGTAAGGCACCCCTCAGCTCACTGTAAACCTAGGCCCAGTCCACAGCCTACCCCCTCTACTTCATCACTTGATGCAGCTGTGACATTACCGACCATTTCCACCACCTGATGCTGATGGGAGATGAGACTCTCTCCTCCTCCTCCACCCAGCTCTGTTGCTACCAACAATAGCTCCCCCCCGGGAGAAGGAGCAGGTCAGATGGTGAGAAAAGAGTGGGGGGAGGGATGAAGAGAGCAGAGGAGAGGAGAATGAGGAGGGGTGATGAAGAGAGGAAAAGAAAATGAGAAGAGGAGAATGAGGAGGGGATGAAGAGAGGAGAGAAGAATGAGGAGAGGAGATGGAGAGGAGAATGAGGAGGGGGGATGAAGAGAGGAAAAGAGAATGAAAAGAGGAGAGGAGAATGACCTCTGAAGTCCCTACACTCTACATCTTAGATACTAGGATTCAATTTAGCAACCATTTATTAAGCTTCCACCATAAGCAGCACTATGACAGTCCCCACCTTCAAAGAATTTACTCTCTGGTGGAGGAACAGGTTACTGCCCCAGATAAGCCAACACATGAAAAATGCCTCATTGATGCAAGCACAGGCTTTGGGAGGGCCAGAAATAAGGCTGCCTGGAGGAGGGGGCATTCAAGCTGGACTCTGCAGAAAGTGGGAGGGGGAGCAGAGAATGTGGATGCCATTCCAGGCAGAGTTCTGAGAGCAGAAATTTTGAGCTGGAAGGGAGGGGTCTTGTAGACCATCTTGCCTAACTTCCTCATTTTATTTTTTTTCCCATTTTATGTTCGTTTTATTCTAAACTTAAAACACCAAAGAAAATGAGCATTTGCATATATAATGCTGAAAAGAAAAATAGGATTGTACATGGAACCGTGGGTCTTCATTATGTACATATGCCTTTTCTTTTGAAGTCTATAAGAAAATCAACACATCATTTTCTCAGCTGACTTATTTGTCTGTGATTCCTTCTATTCTCTTCTCACTGAGGGAGGGGGTATGGAACCTTAGCCTGAGTTCCCTTCTCCTTCCCACCTCACTTTACAGAAATAGAAAATGCTTGTGTCTTGTCCAAGGTCACTCAGGAAACAGTGTCAGCAAAGTCCCAGGGAAGGGAAGGGAAGGCACAGACTGTGTACAAGGGGCCAAGAGTGAGTAGTCCAGCTTAGCTGGGGTGTGGAAGGTACAGAGCAGTCTAATATGAGCTCAGGCTGGGAAGGGAGGGGCTGGCTGGGCCTGGACTGTGGAGGGCCTTGCATCCAGGCAGTGGACTCAGGTCTAAGCAGAAAAGTGGTATAGTCACTCTGATGCCCAAGTGGGATCCTCCTGCCAGCTGAGTGAAGGCTGGGGTAGAAGGAGGGCAAAGTAGAGGATGACAGACGTGTTCTAGTCCAGGTGGCTTGTGAGGAAGGCCTGCACTTGGGTTCTGGCCATAGGCCTAGGGAGGAAAGGATAAATGCCACAGATGGCTCCCTGTTCCTCACAACAGTCCTAAGAATACCTGAAGACAATCCTCATGCCCACCTCCTCCCATCACCCCAAATAGTCTTTTCCCCAGCCTATACTATTTCCAGTTCCTTCAACTGATCCTTGGATGGCATGGTTTAAAGTTATCTCACCATCCTTGGAAGCCCTCCTCTAGGCAACCTTCCTAAAACCTGAGCTGAAAACCTTGGATTGAACACAGTCCCCCAGGGATGGTCTTGCCAGGGCAGCAGGCAACAGGATTACCACCTGCCTCCTTCTACACACTGCAGGAGGCTTTAGGAAGTCATGACAAAGCCCCTAGGATGAGGAATCAGAAGGCACACCTCTGAATCAGTTCAGCCATTTGACCACTTCTGTGGTCTCGGGAAATTCACCTTCCCCTGGGTCTCAATTGAATTCTGAGGCTTGTAAGAGCCAGGACAGGCTACGGCTTCTGGGTGGCTGGTCTAGTGTTCGGGGGGGGGGCGGGCATTGTATGTCTTCAGAAGGATGATAAACATGGCTGCAAAGATAGGAATGAAAAGAACACAGATTGCAGAAGTTGGGGGGGGTGCTCTGGATGTGGACTATAGCATGTTCCATAGTCACAATTGATGACTCTGCTGCTCTGTTCTGTTCTTCTTTGTTCTAAAAGGAGGGGATGGAGTTAGAGTTCACAAATGCAAAACTCGTTAAAAAAGAAAACGAGGCAAAAACATTCAAAGGAAGCCAGATGCTAAGTGAGTGTGATAACCAATCTTGGAGTAGGCAATGAGGATGAAAATGATGAAATTTTTCTCCCTCCTCTGGGCAAAGAGGAAGGGGACAATGGGACAGACATTGTTTCATGTAACTGCTGGTTTCTAAGGCATGGAGGATTCTTTGGGGATGGGAGGAGTGGATATATTCTGAAAAGCCTGGGATGTAAGAACAAAAAGCATCCATCAATCTTATTCTTTAAACTGATAACAATTTTTAAAATAAAAGTCATACCAAGAATGGCAATGAAACCTCCACATCTTGGCCTCAGCTGAGGGGAGGGGAGGGGCGGGGCCTGTGAGGGAAAGGGCTTTGTCTGCCATCAAGTCTTCTGTTCCTGGAGCTGTTAGGATCATTAGGCAGCCAAGGCTGCTTCAGCATCCGCCATAATTCCCAAAGCACCTTTTCAGGCTACCTACCCAGCTGCTGTTCTTCTTGCTGGCCTCCCCCTCTCCTCACCAAGCCCCATGAAAGGCCAAGGTCTGGACACTTCTCAGGCATCCCTTTACTCTAGGTCCCCACCAGCCACCCTACCATATGTCTTCATTTCTTTTCTCATAAGCTCCTGTGATAGGTGCCTCCCTCCAGGGTCTCCCCTCTCCCAATTCATCCTTCACTCAGCTGTCAAAATAAGACATATGCTCTGCTCTGACCAAGAATCTCCTCTCCTCATGGACCAGCAGGGGTTCCCTACTGCCCACCAAAGTATAAGCTCCAGTCTGCCCTGTAGTTGGGCTCCAATCCACCTTTCTGGCCTTATGCGATGCCCTGAGTCGAGTGCTGGCCTTAGAAGGAGAAAAGCCCAGGGTGCAAATCATACACTTCTGAGCTGTGTGAACCCAGGTGAGCAAGCCCCATCCCCTCCCTGAGGCTTCCTTCCTCCCTTCCTCCTTTCCTCCCATAAACATTTCTTGAGCACCTACTTCTAGCTAAGCCTTGTGCTCTAGCTACAAAGTTAGAGAGGACCCTAAGCCAGGTTTTCCAGGGCCTCACAGAGTAAAGGGCAGACCCAAATGGACACAGAGCCAAGTAATGTGGGGTGGAATGTAATGGGCCCAAGAAAGCTCCACACTCAATGCAGGTTACAGTAGGCAAGGCCGGGAAGGTGGCAGGGATGAGGTGACCCCTCAGCTGAGCCTGGATGGCCAAGGAAGAGTTGGGCAGGCAGAAGGGAAGAGGGAGCACAACATGGCCAGAGGGGACAGCCTAGGGGACTTCACAGAAGGGAGAAAGTACAAAGTCTGACTTGGGAACAAATTGTATGCCAGTTCAGCTAGAATGCTGAAAATGAATGCTTCCTGGAAAATAAGGAAATATGGCAGGTGGGAGCTACACTGAGGAGCAGGGCTTTGGAGCCAAGTCTTCTAAGCTGTGGAATTTGGAGTCCAAAAAGGAAATAGGAAATACACATTAGGCAATAGGGAAGCAATGAAGCTTTTTGAGCAGGGGTATGGCATGATCAGACTTGTTATTTAGGAAGATTGTTTTGTCAGCTATGTGGAAAATGGATTAAAGAGGAGAGAGACTGGAGGTCGGGAGACCACCCAGCAGACTCTTGTAATAGCCCAGGTAGAAGGTGATTGGGCCATAAGAAGGTAATGGCTGGGGGAATAAACAGAAAGAAATGGAGGTGAGAGATTCTGTGGAGGGAGAAGCAACAAAATGTAGCAATTGATTTGATATGGGGGAGAAAGGAATAGGGAGGTGTCAATGAGGCACCAAGGTTTTTAACCTGGGTGACTGGGAGGATGGTAGTGTGCCAAAATAGGGAAGTAGGAAGGAGGGGTGAACTTGGCAGGAAACCTCTGCTCTTGAGCTGTGAGTACCAAAGAGGGGATGGCAGTCTCTGTTCTGTTACCTATATAGCACCTACTCTTATGGATGCCCTTTGCTTCTCAGGAACTGAAGCATCAACACTTCCTCCTTCCATGTCCAAGCAAGCGTGGTTACCTGCTCTCCCAGAAAGGTCTACACTGTGAGGCACATCCTAAGAGTCCTGGAAGCTCCACATGGGTGCAGCTTCGACCACAGCTCCAACTAGCTCTCAAGAGCCGATTGTTAAATTTTCTGCGTGCATACTTACACCTCAAAAATGGGCAAATGCTACAAATCAGGGCTTGCTTTATTGTCTTGTCGATGTCTAGACTTAAGAAAGTGATGGAGAAAACGTTAACAATGCAGATGACACTTCAAAGTGTGTTGCAGGTACATTTTCCCTCCAGAGAGCTGGCTGTTAAACAATTAACCAGCACACCCCTGAGTCCAGTACCGACTTACCTGCTGGGATTGAGTTTTCTTGTCTCACAGTGGGCCAGAACCAGATAGTCAGGCAAGGAGAGAGCTTCAAGGTCAGTTCTGGCTTCCTTAGCAGGGAAGGCAGCTGTGGTAGAGTCATCAGCATTAAAAGAAGAATTGGCTACATGAGACACACGGAAGGAGCTGGCTGGGGAAGGCTGAGGAGATGAGGTGATATGGGAAAGGCTCTCTGCAGAATCTGTTGGGAGACACAAACACCTGGCTGGATATTTCAGATCATTCCCAAGACACACGCCTACCATTTCTGAACCAGCGTCAGCAAAGTCAAAATTCCCATTAAACAGTGAATGCTGAGAAGGAAAAGCATTTCTCCAACTAGTCAACAAGGTCTGGAGGAAGAAACCAGAGCCGTGTTCCAAAAAGGGAAATATTTGCCTGATGGATTTCAAGTAGCCTCAGAGTCAGTCTCAGCTGCTCCCTCTCCTCCTTCCCCAATCCAATCCATTGTCTTGTCACGTCCACCTCTACCAGGTCCCTCCTATCTGTCCCCACCTCTCCTCTCCCCTGACCGCCGCACTAGGTCAGGCCCACTTCACCTCCTGCCTGGGCTCCAGCAAGAGCCTGCACATTGCTCTAATGGCCTCAAGTCTCTCCCTTTTCCACTCAGCTGCCCAGGTGATTTTCCCAAAGCACAGATCTAAACTATGTCACTGACTCCAAACTCCACAACCGAATGACTGGCCTCCAGCTGCAAAGTAGGACTTCTAATAGGAGATTCCAGTGTATTTACAGAAGGCTAGAAAACAATTCTTCAAATCTTCCTGGCAGTTGAGTCCTGATACAAATTTGAACCATAAATAAATGGGAAGCTGCAGACATGTTCCCCAGTTCAGAAATCCCCTGTGAAGAGCCTATCTCCCCTTCCTCTTTAGAGATGAGTTGGCAGGAGCTAGGGGATTCCTGAGGTTAGTTTGCATCATAGGTCTAGCTAAGGAAACCCCAAACATCAGGATTTCACTGTAGCTAACAGAGCAATTGTCCAAACCTACCACCCCAGGTCCAAAACTTGTCTTCTAGTAACCCTCCTAGAAGCTCCTGGCATGCTTCCCCTCCCCTCCTTTTCCCTCTCCTCTTTCCCCCTCCCTTTCCCTTCACCTGACAGGGTAATTGGCACATAATATGTGCTTAATAAATTCTTATTAAGCTCAGCAGTTGGATTCCACCAAGTGACAAAGTCTTTCACAATAATAACTTCGCAGACAAGATGTGCCTAGATGATAGGAAATTCAGATGGATTTGGAATTGGTTGAAAGACTGGACCCCAAAAGGGTGACTAAATGGTTGATGCCAGCCTAGATAGGGTCTCTAGTGGAGTGCTTCAAAAGTTTGGCTTAGCAATCCGCACGGGAAAAATCAAATGGATGAAAAATGCATATTGCCAAGATTATGAAACATGGCTGAACTGGCAGCCCATCAAGCTAGTCTACGGGTTCATGTATCTTGGACAGGCCCTATAGATGGAAGATGAGTTGAGTAGAGGGATAGGAGCTTAGCTAGATGACATTTGGGCAATGCTGTGCTTTCATTGCTCCATAGATCACCCTTACCATCAAAACACAACACTTTAACATCAATACTCTCCTGACGGGGATTCAGAAGAATCCAAAATACAGGTCATCCAAAGAGGAATAGAAAGATTCATGGTTCAGGTGAGCACATTTTTTTGAATGCTACAGTGATTTGGTCAGACCTATGCTTTCAAAAAAATGCTTTGAAATTAATGAATTGGAACAGAGAGAAACTTGAAGAAGGGAAACCAGTTAGGAAGATAAGGCTATAATCCAGGTGAGAGGGGATAAAGGCCTCCACCAGGACGTTGTCTGGGTGAGTGGAGATAAGGGGGTGGATGTGAGAGATATAGTAGAGGGAGAATTAATTAGAATAAGTGCTGATTGGATGTCAAGGTTGAGGGAGACGAAGGAGTCCAGGATGACTAAGGACCTGGGTGACTGGAAAGAGAGTGCTGCCTTCAACAGAAGTAGAGAAATTTGGAGGAGGGGGGAGTTGGGGAGAAATACATTGAGTTCCACTTTGGACATTTCAATTCTGAGTTGACAGTCAGATTGGAAGTCGGGACTGGATGGTAGTTTGGGAGTCAGTCAACAAGCATTTGTAAAGTGCCTTCTATGGGCCTTAACACATGTGGCTAAGCACTGGAGTGACCTGCAAAGAGATGGTGAGTAGAAGTAGGCAGCAGCATGTTACCAATGGTGATTTGGGCCAAGTAGCACACACATCAGGTGAAGGGCATGTGCATACCTGTAAAAGGGAATGAGCCAGGCATGTAGCAAGAGTGCAGGGTAATGGGTGCCCCAAATGGGAAAAGACTCAAGGACAGCAAGCATCCATTCTGGCAGGTATCTAGATATTCTCTGGGGCCAGGTTTCATAACCTTTCAGTCGGGCATGGACACCTCTGGTCATCTGGTTAAGCCTGTGGACCCCTTCCAGAATCATATTTTTAATTTTATTAATTTATTTTGATTTATTAATAATCACTTCCATATGCTTTTGAGTTTAAAATTTTTCTCCCCCTTCCTCTCCACCACCCTCCCCAAGGTGGCGCACAATCTGATGTAAGCTCAGAATCATATTTTTAAATGTAGAAAATAAAATGCATAAGATAATAAAGGAAATGAGTTATACAGAAATTGTTATCAAGGATTTTTTAAAAAACCAAACAAGTTCCCAGATCCCCTGAAAGCTAAGGATCCATGCTAGGGAGGACCCATGGACAGACATGGATGAGAAGACCAGAGGATAAGGAGGGGAGGAGGAGAGATATGCACTAGTGGAGGGAATCCCCTGAGAATACTCCTGAGATCACAGAGTCAGCCAGATGGAAATGTGCTCCTACACTGGAGTGCTCACTTCTGACCACTGGCAAAGGCTGTGCAAACACTCCTGAAGGACCTTCATTTCTCACCCTCCCACCTGCCTCCTGCAGCACCTCCATCCCTCCCTCCCTCCCCACTCCCCCACCCCCACCAGGGGCTCCTCTGCCCTCCTGCATTTTCAGCCCCCAGCAGGAGGCTTTAGGGCACACCCATGTGGTCACACCCACTTGCTTTCTCTACCTTAGTGTCTTCCCTACTCTCCATCTCCAAACCCTCATCTCCAGCATAGCATGTCCAAGGCATCCTCTTCCCAGGGCATGCCCTTGATGACAATGCACAAATGACTTAGAAAACCATCTCCTAAAGATGGGGTAACATGCCATAGGAAGAGCCCCCCCATCCTGTTCCTCCTAGACCATAATGCCAGGTCCCGAATATGTGCCCACCTGCACTGTTGGTCCCATGTCCAAAGTTACAGATCTGGCTGATATTGTGCACCCAGATATGCATTTCCTCTTCTGTCTTGGCCACCAGGTAGAAAGTGCGGTAGACGGTCTTGACAACAAACACACAGTCATTCTGAAATTCCCTCCGAATGAAGTCTGGCCCCGCATACTTGCGCACCTCACCCTCACTCAGGTCAATCACTCGAATAGGCTTCTTTGAATGGTCACTCCGATAGTACTCCAGAACATCAGGATTCCCACTCATCCGACCGTGCCGCAACACAAACCAGCGTTTCCGCCAGGCCTGGGGAAAGACGATTCAACACAAGTTAGATTGTGAGCATTGAATTCAATTCAATTCTTCTATGTGATGAGTACATGGGGAATACCAATAGCCTAACACGAGGGGCTATCTGATTGGATAAGAATCAGACTGGCCTTGGAGCTCCCTCCAGAAGGCTCACATAAGGGGCAGCTAGGTGGTGCAGTGGATAGAGCACTGGCCCTGGATTCAGGAGGACCTGAGTTCAAATCTGGCCTCAGACATATAACACTTACTAGCTGTGTGACCCTGGGCAAGTCACTTAACCCCACTGACTAGCAAACAAAACAAACAAACAAAAAAAAGCCAGAAGGCTCAGGTAGGTAAATCCCCTGAATGGATTTTGAGGTACTCTGGATATATTCTTATCTAGCTCCCTGAGGGGAAGATCTAGAGCTGGTACTGACCTAAAGAGATGCTTCTCTGTGGGTTCTCTAAAAAGGCTTAGAAAGTTGGGCAGGGAAGGCTAAAGACCTCTGTCCCAAAGGTGAAGTCTGCTAGGCTTCTGCTTGTGGGTCAGCGAATCCAAAAGAGTTACAGGGCCAGCTCACATTCTTGTATACTTTAAGGTTTTTGCCAAGAGACCACTTCAGCTGTCATTAAGTTTTCTGTTTCAAAGTGCTGTTTTAAGATACTTTATTCTGAAAGTGACATAGTCACTGAAAAATCCTGGCTGCTGGGCAGTTGCTGATCAAGGTGGATAAAGAAAACTTGCGTATTATTTCTCAAAGGATGGGACACTGGTTTTCTCTTCATGGTGATCTTTTTTTCCTTGTGCTAACAGGGAGAAAGTGAGATAGATGGATAGATAGAATAGATTAGGCCTGCATAACATATGGACCACCAAAGGATTTTGGGCAGCCTGCAAAAAATGTAGAGGATGTAAAAGAAAGTAAAGAAGCAACAACTGCTTTGTCCCTGCCCTGCTTAACCCGCCTTCCGCTAGTCACTACTGTGCCCCTCATGTTAACTTGGTGGGTGGGTTGTCACTGCACACTCTCTCCTTTCTGTTACGTGACCCTTGGCAACCAATTATCATCAGTCTGTCTCTGGTCTGAAAGGAGCAATTTCATGATAAATAAAAATCTTAAGTAATAAATGTAATTAATTGATATTAATTGAAATTTCTCTTTTTCAATATGGTTTATTTGCAAAATAGTTTAATCATTAATTATACCTTTACTTGGAAAGTGAGATGCTAAAAACCTATAAGTGGCCTGAAGAAGTTTAGCCTATTTTAATTTTGGCCCCTACCTACTGCCAAGTTGTGCAGGTCTGGAATAGACAGATAGAGAGAGAGACAGACAAATAACAAAAATCCCAAGAAACTTCTGCTTAAGATAATCAAAGAATATTTATTAGGGAAACTCTTACTGGCAGATGGGAGGAAAATAAGAGAGGTATATTATCTTTGTGCCCCAGAGGCTGGATCCCAAGATAAGGTGAGTTAGAAGGAGTTTGATTACATTTGGAAATAAGACCAAGCTTTAATTAAAATTAAATTGATGGGGCAGCTAGGTGGCACAGTGGATAGAGCACCGGCCCTGAAGTCAGGAGAACCTGAGTTCAAATCCAGCCTCATACACATAATACTTACTAGCTGTGTGACCCTGGGCAAGTCACTTAACCCCGATTGCCTCACCCAAAAACCAAACACAAAAAAGTTATTTTTAGCCATTCTAATTTTATAATTGTATTTCTCATTTATTTATTTATTTATTTATTCGTTCATTCATTTATTTGGCTAGGCAATGGGGTTAAGTGACTTGCCCAGGGTCATACAGTTAGTAAGTGTTATGTGTCTGAGGCTGGATTTGAACTCAGGTCCTCCTGACTTCAGTGCCGGTGATCTATCCACTGTTCCACCTAGCTGCCCCCATAATTTTATAATTTTATTTTAAATGGTCTAGAAAAGGCATAGTTTTCCTCTTCATCTTAAGAAGCTATACTTCTAGGAAGGCAGAGCCAAGATGGTGGATTAGAGGCAGCAACTCAACTGAACATTCTCACCATTCCCACCAAATAACTTTAAAATAACACCTCAAATCAAATTTTGGAGTCAACAAAAGGTCAGTGTGAGACATTTTTTCTGGCCTAAGAAAACTTAGGTGGTCGGCAGGAGAAGTTTATGACACTGGGGTAGAAGCCCATTCAGATTCCATGCATGCTATGGTGGCAGCAGTGGCTGCAGCTTCCGTAGTTCTCAGTCCAGAAATAGAAAGGGTGTTTGACAACTGGTCAGAAAGAGATTACAGGGTACCCTTTGCTGGCACTGGGTACAGATGGTGCTGATAGGCAACTCTATTGCCCATATGCAGTTCTGGGTCACAGTTCCAGGGTAAAGAGGAGTGCTGGAGGTTGGTCACAAGGGAGTAGGGGCCCTGGTCACAGTACCAAAGCAGAGAGGAACCAGGCATCTTCCTTGGTAATGACCAGAATGCAGACCAAGAGAACAGTGACCACACCTCTCCCAGGATCACACCACTTTGGAAGCCCCAAAAACTTGCAGACACCCAGAATTAACTCTGGAAACAGTAGCACAAAAAACCTGAAGCTTAGGACAGTGCTTCCCCACCCCCAGGTGAACAGAGCCCAACTTTAACATAAAGTTCAAAGTCAAGAAATGGACTGGAAAAATGAGCAGACAACAAAATGAACTTGACCATAAATAGCTAACTACAGTAGCAGGGAAGACCAAGACATAAACTCAGAAGAAGACAACAATGTGAAAACAGCTACATAAAAAGCCTCAAAGAACAACGTTAATTGGACCCAAGTCCAACAAGAAGTCCTGAAAGAGTTAAAGAAAGAGAGAAGAGTGGGAGAGGAAAAATTAGGAAAAGAAATGAGGGTGATGCAAGAAAAATATGAAAGGAGAATTAACAGCTTTGTAAAAGAGGCGCAAAAATATTGAAAATGTACTTGAATACTGAAAAAATACTTAAAAAATAGGATTAGCCTAATGGTAAAAGAGGCACAAAAACTCACTGAAGAAAAGAGCTCCTTAAAAACCAGAATTGGCCAAATAAGGTACATTGGCAAAATTGTGTAATTGGCAAAAGAGGTACAAAAGCTCGCTGAAGAAAATAATTCCTTAAAAATTAGATTTGGGCAAGTGAAAGCTAATGAGACATGAGACATCAAGAAACAATCAAAGTCAAAAGAATGAAAAAGTAAAAGAAAATGTGAGTTATCTCATTAGAAAAGCAACTGACCAGGAAAATAGATTGAGGACATATAATTTAAGAATTAAGACTACCTGAAAGCAATGATCAAAGAAAGAACCTAGACATCATATTTCAAGAAATGATCAAGGAAAACTGCCCCAGTATCTTAGATCCAGAGGGTAAAATATAAATTGAAAGAATCCACCAATCACCTCCTGAAAGGGATCCCAAAATGAAAACTTCCAGTGATAATGTAGCCAAATTCCAGAGCTCCTAGGTCAAAGAGAAAATACTTTAAGCACCCAGAAAGAAACAATTCAAATGTTGTGGAGCCACAGTTAGGATAACACAAGATTTAGCAGCTTCTACATTAAAGGATCAGAGGGCATGGAATACGATATTCTAGAGGGCAAAGGAGCTAGAATTACAACCAACAAAACTGAGTATAATCCTTCAGAGGAAAAAATGGATATTTAATGAAATAGAAGACTTCCAAAAAGCTGTATTTCTCGCTGTGGTCTATATCTTTATCTATATCATCTTTATCCCATCTCTCACTCCATCCTATTAGCCAAATCCCTAGAACTTGGCTGGCTACATCTTGCCCTCAGGGTTCTAGGGTTCTTCTTGGGTCAGCAGCTCAAGAACCCACTGGTGTGCTTCCTCCCAAGACGATCAGTTGAGAAACAATTTAGTTAACCTCAAATAGCTTTTAGAAAAGAGGCTATTACTGTACTAAGATGGCACAGTAATAACATATGGCACAGAACATCGTCCCAAGAGTCTATGACACGCTCTTCCAAAAGTACATATGGAGTCCAGGGGAAGGTAGACTCAAATTTAGAGAGCACTGCTTTGGGTTGCTGAAAGTCTTTTTCTTCTATTCATGAGGTACTTAAGATATATTTAAGCATGGCAAATCTGCATTCACCAGTCCTTGGTTCTTGACATAGATGCTGCCATCAGATGATCTGGGAATATGGCTAAGACACCAATGGGAAAGTAAGAGGAGCAAAATCCTCCAGGCCCTTCAAAGCTTGCAAGCTTCTCCGCTGGCCAAAGTACGTGTGTGTGTGTGTGTGTGTGTGTGTGTGTGTGTGTGTGTGTGTGTGTGGAGGGGGGATGGAAGGTGTGTGTGATGAAGAGAGGAGATCAGACCAAGGCTCCCCTTAAATGGTTCCTCTTCAGAGGTATTCTGGAAAGCCACATTTGCCCCAACCTCTTGAACTAATTCCTTCTCAATTCATTTGATAATTTATAATTTACAGATGACTCCCAAATATGTGACCAAGTTTCCTCAGCCTATTGAAACAGACCTCTTATCTGGTGCCATTTAATTTCATCCAATGGTTTTCAAAACCTTTTCACACTTAGTCGATGTTCTTTTGAGTGACTGGCTGGAAATGTGTTCTCACCTAGCAAATCTATGAAGATTAAAGAGGGGAGGGGGTCAGCTACCACCACCCTTATACAACTAAAGTCATACAATCAAGGTACTCACAGTTGCCCATTCCAAAGGTGCCCTAATTGTGGGCTGAGGTTTTGAGGGATGAATGATATTCTTGAAAGTAGGATCTACAATGGACGACATTCCAACTTCTCAACCTGAGCCTGGCTAAAGGAGCTTTGGCCTAGAAGGGGAGTCTTGAGGCCATTTGGCCTTTTCTCCCTAAAGAGCACCCTTAAAGCGGACTGCTTTGGCTTCCCATTCTCTATACTGACACTGAGACCAAGAAGGTGATTACTAATTCCTTTAAATTCTGTCCTTAAAATCTCTAGTGCTTCTTTAGCACTAACTGTGGTTGTAACATTAGC